GAGAAATGGGTTCCCTCCATCCTTTCATTTCAAAGAGTTGGGAGAGAGAAAGAATGAGAGAGGATGGTAAGGGAGGGGAAAAGAAGAGAAGAAAGGGAAAACAATAAGCTAAATAGGTCTTAAGAGAAAAAGAGCAAAAAAAAGAAAATAGAAAAAGTTTAATGGGGTATTTTGGTAATTTAATGCATTCCGTCATCTGACTTAACGGTCAAAGGGGGTCTTTGTTTCATGGTCATAGTACGGGGCGTCTTTGTCATAGACCCCATAGTACAAGGGGGTCTTTGTAATTTACCCTATTTTGTATGTATTTATGCTGCTGTACATATTTGCATTTATATTCTTTTCAAACTGAGCTGAAGTGGAGACAGCCCTTCAAATGGAAACAATTATTTATTTATTTATTTTATTTTTTGATAAGAGGCAACAATTAATTTGCAATCTCCAACTTTTTCATCAAATGTAACTTAAAGGCTTTTAGGGGCCTAATAGGGGGGGGGGGGATTCTTTTCATTGTCGGCATTGTTAGAATCAGCATCCAACAATGAAAGATAGGATCAGCTTTGCCTTTTACAATAGCCCAATTGTAATATAAGCTTATACAAGTTGGTTTCTTAGGCAGTTTGGGAGGGCTTTTGCGTTTGGGTTGAGCTGTTATAGAGAAGCCGTTCATATTTAGCATTCATGTTCCAAATATGCTAATCAAAGAAGCTTAGTGTTTAGTCGCTCAACTGGAATTTTGAGCACTGATGTGGACTTTCCAAACTTTCACCAAACATATGTCTGTTTGGCATCGATGCCGTTGCTCCAGAAAACAGTGATACATCAGTATCACATCGGGAAAAACAGCGCTCCAGGAAATGTCTGTTTGTTTGGTACCGTTTTTTCATAAAAAATGGTTCTCCAAGCCATGCTTTGGAAATCGAGAAGGTATGGTTTGGAGCAATGCCGAATTTGGCATTTTCTCAGATTGCAGCTCGTTGCTTCCAATAAGGACGTGATGTGGCAGTGAAGTGGACTTCCTATAATGGGTACTAGTGCTGAAAACAGACATGGAACACTGATACTAAACAGAAAGTGTTGTTGTTGCTTCAGGAAACATCCTACCTGACAGCAACGTTTCAAAACAAATAAAAAGACACTGTTTTCTCATAAAACGGTACTTCTTACCTGAGAAAACGGTGTTGTATCTATAGCATCAATGCCAAACATATATATAATTTATGGGGTTTCTATATAGACCCCACCTCGAAATGCTAGAAGCCACTGCCCAAAAGCCCTTCCAAGTGGAAAATGAATATTGATTTAGAAGGTTCCAACTTACCATGCTACTAAAGTCTCTAACTGGTTGTAGGGGAGACATGGGATCAGGATCAAGTCCCACCTTCACTTGGGTTGGGGGGGTCTAGGGACTATGGGTTTGTGAGAGAGCCACCACCTATTGTGTAGCACATTACTAAAAAGGAAAAGAATATTGATTTAGTAGTCTGAACGAAATGATTTAGTAGCTTTGGTGGATATGATAGGATTAGTAGGACTTCCTTATGGAGTGATGATTCAGATGGGGGTTTGGTGACAGTAGAGAGGATAGATTAAGCAATTTTTAAGAAAGTGCTCATTAATGGCTCTCCTTCTAGAACCATCCACCCAGCATCAATGCCAAACACTCCCCCAAAAATTCAAAGATTACTCTCTAAAGTGTTGAAAGTTAAAAGAGTCATCTAGGGGTGAACTTGGGGAGGTGTCTAACAGGGTGGTAGAGTGGAAGGAGAAAATTTTAAATGTAGCAAGGAAATAAATCCTAATCAAATTTGTAGCTAGTGTTCTTCCCATTTACACAATGTCTTGCTTTCTTTTGCCTAATGAACTATATGATGACATTGTGAGATTGCAACTTTGCAAGGGAACCTTTGGTGGGGTCATTCTAATGATAAAAAAAAATATCATTGGATTCATGGGAGGGAGGTGTGTGATGGACTTAGAGACTCTAGATGTTTCAATCTCGCTCTACTTGTCAAAGAGGTTTGGAGATTGATCTCTAATCCATAATCTCTCTGGGCCAAAATGTTTCAAGCCAAATATTTTCCACCATTCACTTACAGTTCCAGTAAAGTTAGAAGGGACCTGAACTAGTTCTCTAATATTAAGCCAAACTTGTTTAGCTACAGGGCAGTATATAAAAAAGTGGTCCAAATAAAATGCGGTTCATATCTTCTTCTTCCCCACATATAACACAAGATCCATCAATATCCAGACCTCTCACAATCAGAATTTTTTTTATGGGAAGTTTATTATTAAGGAGGAATAGGAAATACTTATATTTTGGAGGAGTTTTCATACCCCATATTTTATTGGTGCCATTCATAGGCCTCAAAATATGACCAATGCATTAAGCAAGTCTCATTATATGCAAATTTAATAGAGAATTTACCACTCGGATTAGGTCTTCAGATTTGTTTATTTTTCACATCACTTGAAGGGATAAAAATGGACTTAATCTTATTTTTCACATCCCAGGTGAGCGAGTCTCTCCTTATCACCTCACTAACTTTGAGGTTAATAGTAGAAACTGTGTTTTCACCTTTTCATCAATTGAATTGATTAGGGTTTTCCATTCACCCAATTATCCAACCAGAACCTAATTGAGTTGCCATTTTTTGATTACTTATTCCCTTTTACCCCCTTTTTTCCCCAGAGTGCTGATTGCTGGATTCGATTCCGTGTCAATGCTGAAACAACCCAGCTAACACACCAACGAGACAGCCCTCATTGGTCTAACTGAGTTGCCATTGCCAATAACCACTCCAGCTCCTCTTTTAATTAACTCTCTAGAGGAGAGAATACCTTTCCTACTGCTGTTATTGATAAAATCTTAGAAATCTACATTCCTGCTTCTAATCAGGATGATGATATAATTTGAGCCTAATGAACGGACTAGGAGCTTCTCAGTTCACTCAACTTACTATCTGATAATTTTGAAGGCAGTTTGGTCTGTGCTGATGTAGCTCCTAAGATCAAGGCCTTTGTTATGGAGGGGCATGCACAATGGTTTGAATGTGAACTTCAATCTCTTTAAGGAAAAGGTAGTTGATGATCCTAGACCTACTTGCTTTGCATGCAAAATGAATGCTAAATCGGTTATTCATACTCTGTTTGAATGTGAGTTGCTAGTCTACATTTTATTGGAATTTTGATCTTTCCACTGCTCAAAGATGAATCCAGATCTCCTGCCCACACAAACTCTACCCACGTCTACCCACATAACATCTCAGTCACACATGAACAACATCTCATCCTCGACAAGACATCAACAAATGCCACCGCAGATCTTTACTATGTTCCTTCTTGACCAATGACCATTGCTTGGCTACGATGGATTAGTCGTAATAATATTGTAAATGGTGAGGATCCTGTTTATGCCTCTTAAATGAGTTGTAGAACGCAAACAGGCTATATCAGGAGAGATGGCCGCCACAGCTCTGAACCCCATGGTTTAGAGAACTGATAAGTGTTGCTAGCTATTTTTTTATGAATATTTCATTCAGATTTCGTGAAATGAGTTCGTATTCAAAAGACTAGCAATACCAATACGAGAGTTCAGCCTTCAGAGTTGGTACTAGAAGGCCTCACCAATCATGCAATCTACACCACTAACGCGTGGACCGAGTACCAAAAGTCATCACTTGCACAACAAACTTTGTGAGCATCTGTTTAGAGAATGTAGCTGATTGATTAGCCACTAGCTAATGTTTAGTTAATCTTATTTAAATAAAAAAAATAAGATTCAAAAAATATAATAGTTACAGACAGAACTCAGAACCAGAAGGTTCAGAAACTAAATCCATCCAACCCTCATTTCTCATGGTCGTTTTAGATGGATAACCATGGTTCACGAGGATCTAAGATGTTGGCCAATATAATACATGGTTTCACTTTCTCAAATGAAACTGCCTCATCGGCAAAATCATTTTACTTTTTGTTGGTGTGGCCATTGAAAACATAAATATTGGCAAACACCGCCCAACCCTCAAGAGTTTCATAGGATGTACATGGGGATGAAAACACAATAAGAAACATGGCTTTACAAGATCTGTGGCTGCAAAATGACGATTGATTCACGGTGGAACACAAATCAACCATTATACACAAAAGGCTCAAACCACAAAGTTCGATCTTATAAGATATGAAATTGGTAGGTAGAAGAAGAAAACTCAAGGTCCTGGCACAGGGTTAAAGATAAACATGAGAGACTAGAGTCTCATATTCAGGGCAACAACCTTGTTTTGAGCCAGAACCAAACAGAGTTTCATACCCCTCCATGAATCAAATATTTGCTTACAAAGTCAAACAATGAAAGGGAGGTCCAATACACCAAAAGGAGACAAATTGATATCGAGTGATTTCAAGATGATCAGAAAGCAAATGGGTAACATACATGGGAAGTGGGAACACCGCAATCTTTGAGTAGAAATTTGGGTAGGGAATCAAAGGCATTAATTCAAATCTGATCCATGTCAGAAGAATGCTAAAAATGGGTTATCAAGACATTAATTCGAATCTGATCCATGTTGAAGAGTGACAAAAATGGGTTATAGCATCAGTGAGCAAATGACAAAGAAGATGTGCTGCAGCATTCAACATTTAGGTTTCAACCGTAAACCATTTACATGAAAACACCAGACAAACCATAAAGAAATCCATTATAGCTTTTTGCTCGTAAAGAAGCTCAAAACTGGCCTCTCGAAGGACTAAACAATAGGTCATGTCCCATTTGCGTTTTCTGAAGATGATTCTTACTATAATAAAGCACTAATCCGTTACCCCATTGGCCTAAGTTCCATTTTACGTTCTACCCACATGGGCATTTTCACTGTAGAACACTTAGACCACTACTTACTGTCACCAGTTTCCAGTTTTTTTCATGGCTCCCCAAAAACTGTATAGTTTACAATAAACTTAATGCAAAAATTGATCTAAGCTTTACAAGATAAAGAGGCAGAAGATGATAGAAGAAACAGAATGCCAAAAATTGTATTGAATCAAATGATAACAGAATTGTTAAAATGCCAGCGTTGACAACTAATCATCTCAATATTGTTCAAACTAGAAAGCAACAACTGCGCGTAATGGGAGCTCTAATACCTACCAAAAAAAAGCGAAATTTCATAACCCCAACTCCTCAATCGAACAAACTGAAGCCCATATCCTGCAGATAACAAAAAAAAGAGAGACGATCGATAACATCGTTCAAGCAATCGACATATATTCTAAAGTATAAGCCAAACAGAAATAAATGCATCGTAGCTAACTCGGTTTAAAGCAATACCTCATCAGACTCTTCCTTCTCTTCAACCTTCTCTTCCTTCTTTGACTCTGCTGCAGCAGGTGCAGCGGCTGCTCCGGCACCAGCACCACTACCGGCAGAAACAGCAACAGCGACACCACCGCCGGAAGGAACCGAGGCAAGCTTCTCCCTACCAGAGGCGATGAGCTCGGTGATGTCCTTCCCCTTGACTTCAGTAAGAAGGAGTTTTATTCTATCATCTTCTGCTTCTGCCCCGACTGTACGATAAAAAGAAATAAGATCCAAAAGGATTTAGAATGAAGAAGAGGATGCAAAAACCCAACTCCAGATCTATAAAACCCAGATTAGAATACCTGATCCCAGGATGGTTTTGAGGTCATCGGCGGAGGGCTGGAGGTTTCCGCCCAAGACAGCGAGCAAGTACGCAGCGATGACCTTCATCTCGGATTCCGGGAGACAATAGAAAAGAGAAGAGAGCAGTGGCTAGGGCGAAAGACTGCGTGGAGCGAAAATAAGGTTTATATAGGATTTTACATTCCCATCAATAAGTTTGGAGAGTGCTACCGGAACTCGAGTAGAAATACGCGCTAAAAAGGACAAAACACTAGCCCAGTTAGGACTTAGGATCTCCTTCCAACAAAATAACCGTCCCAACTTCATGTGCGGACATAAATCATCTTCTTGGTAACAGTCAATGTATGAGATGTACGGATACATATCACGTTCAAATGTGTTGGAACCGTCCCAACTTCTCAGAATTCTGATTTAAAATACAGACTTATAACAATTCAAAATTATAAACAGCTCCACTTATGACACCCATACTCGTCTTTAAATTGGCATCAATTCTGAACTGGTGGAACTAGGATTTTCTGGGGTGGACTGAACAGTAAAAACCCTTTTTTTACAACCATGTGATCCAATGTTTGGATAAATTGTTAAAACCTCTAAAATTTATGATATCTCGTAGATATCATATCTGAAGTTTAAATGCTCTAGGCCACGTTTGTTTGCAGTGCAAATAGAGGAGAAAAATTCCATTTTCAGTAAATTTTACATAAAAATTAAATGAAAAGTTTATCATTGATAAAATTGATGTAAAACTCCCTCTTCTTTTCCATCATTGATAAATTTAGTAAAGTGCATTGGCTCTCTCAAACATGCATTAGGAACATCTCCCTATTCCCTATGCACGTTTGGGATGTGTTATGGGGCATGTGTGGGGTGTGCTTTTGTTGGGAGCCAAAAGCATGGGAGTTTGGTTGCAATGCAAATTTATTTGCACTAGTATAAAATACAAATGCATGGGAGTACAAATGTAAAAAATGCAAATTCTTGTTTAATTTTATTTTGGATTTTACTTTATTCTCTTCATGTTTTAATTTACTTCATTTGTATTGAAATCAAACAAAATAAGTTACAATTAGAAACATAAATAGGTCAGAATTTACACTCAAATCATTTGCACTGCCATGGTTTTGCATTTGCATTGCAACCAAACACAGCCTAAAGAAAAAATAAAAAGTAAGGAATTCAATTCAAAGGATATGCAACTCAAAAACAACTTTCAGTTGAGCAATTAAACAGGACAAGAAATATAAAATTTGAAAAACTATGAATAGACAAACAAACCACATTGACGACGATAAGTAGAAATACAAAGCCAATCACTGGAAGTGGTGGTGGTGGTAGCATTGAGAAGGGAAGAAGGAAAGTGAAAGTGAGGTAGAGGATGAGAATGTGGATGCCAAGCAGATGAAAGGAGAGAAATTGGTGCATAGTTTAGGGGAATGGCTTCTCGGTTGCTAACACAACTCTGGGATGTGAAGATGCTCTACTTTCTCACTCTTTTGTCTCTTTGACTTTTTCATCATTATTGTTATCTCAAATTTGTTCATTTGCAAAGAATTGTAGAAAAGGAAGATCAAAAGATAACAGAAGATTGAGATCAATGAATTAAAGAGTGAATTTAATGAATACTTGAATTCTATAATTGGTTTCCTTTCCCTTCATTTTCCCCCACCCTACTATGAGTTTTAATTCCTCCATTTGTTATGGGAATATAGAGGGAGAATGGCTCTACTCCTGGGTTGGTTGCATCAACGGAGAGGTGGGGGATGATAGAAAGAACAAAGAAGAAGAAGAAGAAGAAAATAGAGGAGGGGACTGGGCAGCTATTGTCGCTCACCTACTTCCCGTTTGGAAGTGGAACCATTTCCAATAAGCTTTGAGGTGAGTCATACCATGTAAGGACAATTTCGATATTTTATAAATGTTAAGAACCTAACATTAGCATTTTTTATATCTTTCTAATGGATGGGTGTAGATGCCAAGATGTCAAAAGTCTAAGGGGAGTTGTTTGCCACACTTAAAGCTTTAGGAGAGGTATCAGTCACTATAAGAAATTTCAAGGTTTCGACAATTTACCCATGTTTTAAAAATCATTCAAGTTAGTGGTTTAATCATCTAGTTCAAATGGATCCACCCTAATAAACTTGTAGTGGAAAACAATCGGCAACCAATTAATTTATTTATGGGATTTGATACATACATGCATGCATACATACATACATACATACATACATACATACATACATACATACATACATACATATATAAGATAATCAAACATGGCATAATAACCACATAATTGTTTAACAAATTATAACAGATTGCACCGACTCTATTTGTCTATTAGCCCCCTCAAGTTGGAGCATGTGAAGAACAAATCCCCAACTTGTGAGTTAAAGTAGAGAACTAATCAACACCTAATGCTTTTGTAAGAAGATGAGCAAGCTATTCTTTTCTCAATGAACCATCCAAAAACAATACAACAATTCAGTTCTATTATCTTTGTAAAGTAATTTACAAAACAATTTTTAAATAACTGGCTAATAGACTAAGGCCTTTGTTAGACAAGATTATTTCTCCTTGTCAAGCTGCATTTATCCCTAGGACGCAAATTCTTAATAATGTGTTGATTACTCATGAATTTCTACATTACATTAAAAAGAGAGGAAGAATGGGGCTTTTGCCTTGAAGGTTGATATGGCAAAAGTGAATAATAAAGTTGAATGGGTGTTCCTTATTAAAACTCTAGAGTCTTTGGGGTTCCTTGCTAGTTGGACCCACTTATTCAAACTTTGCACTTCCACTCACTCCTTTTCTATTTGGGTGAATGGTGAACAATCTAAGAAGTTCTCTAGTAGTAGGCCAGGGTTTCTATCAAGGCAACCCAATTTCTGCCTATTTGTTCATAATTTGTAAGAATGTTCTCTCTTTACTAATGAGTAAGTTGGTTCATGAAGAGAAGTTATTAAGAATTTGCGTGGTGCCTCACTATCTCTCACATGATATTCGTGGATGACTTAATTGCTTTTGGCAAAGCATCCTTGGGGGAATTGGGTATAATCAAAGAGGCTCTCAAGCTTCTTGGTGAAAACTTAGAAGAGGTAAATTGCTCTAAATCTAGCATTTTTTTAAGTAAAAATGTCCCCAGGGGTATAAGGAATTTGATGGCACAATCATTACATGTGAAGTTCATTTATAGGAAGGAGAAGTATCTTGGTGCTCTGTTATTTATTAGATGGGATAAGGAAGCATTCGACAGGTGCATGATCATCTAGTTTGTTGGAAAGTCAATATCTTGTCATTTGCTGGCTGTTTTGCAAGGTCCAAAATATCGCCAAATGTATCGAAAAGGCAATTTTAAGAGATGTATCGAGATACACCTTGGATAAACTTGCATATCAAAGAAAATTTAAGATACACATAGATATACACGAAAATACTATAAATATTTCAATAAATCATAAAAATACATCAATAACATTAAATTTAAGACCTCAATGAAGTATATATACATTAAATTAATATATTTTAATGGTTTTATAAAGAAATACACTATAGTTAATTATAATTTCATTAAAAAATCTGTGCTTAGCTATAATTTATAAACTAAAATTCTTAAGTTTTATGGAATGGGAAAAACCCAACTCCCTTATCCAACCATAAAACATACATTAGCACAACTTCTAAGTGAAAATATAATTAATGATTATTTATTATTTAGATAACTATTACTTTTTTTCAAAAATTATAAAAAATAAAAAATATATAAACATTATACAATATATTCAAAAAATAGTTATTAAAGAAGAAATTTCAATTGCTTTGTGGATATGATAGATCATCCATAGAATTATAAAATATTCAATCATTGTGATAAAATGATAAAATATATTTAATTATTATTTATTTTTTAATTCTAAAAATATAAAAATAAAAAAAAATATTAAAGAATAAATTTCAGCTGCTCTATGGATATGATAGATAAATCCATAGATATAAATCATATTAAGTCTTTATAGGTAGAGAAAAAATTACATTTTCAAATTTATCTTAATTTATATTTTCCTTAAATATCTTCATGAAATTTCCGTAGATCTACTCATAACACAAAAAAAAAAATTGTGATTTTGAATGTAAGAAATGTAGATCAACATAGATTTAAACATTCAAGAAAAAAAGAAATCACAATATATTATAAAAAAATTGAAAAACTTACATATTTTTTTCATATTTTTCAAATTTTGAAAATCTTAAAAAACAACGATTCACACTTGTTTCTTGCAAATTTTTTCATATTTATCACTCTAGGAATGAGGTTTGGAGTTTTATTTGGGGGATGAAAGAAGATTTGCTTCAGGGGAAAGAAGTTTTTTTCTTTTTTAGTTTTTGGTCGTATCTTTTTTGTAACGTATCGATCAATACACTTTTGATATGCCCTAATACACCCCAATACGATGGAAAAAAGACAATACTGTAAATTTTTCATCGTATCTCATATCAAACTTTTGAAGATATGATATCGGGTGTATCGTATCGAAATTTGAAACATTGATGCTTTGCTCTTTTTAAAGATTTAGTTGTTGTAGTTCCATCTTATAATATGTCTATTTCGACCCTTACATCTATTGTGTGCGATGATATGGAGCGGTTAGTGAGGTGGTTCATGCAAGGGTGAAGGTGAAGAATGTCATGCTCCAATTGGTTGGAGCGTAGAATACATAAATGATACATTTCTAGAAAAAATTGGGTGGAGAATCCTTCTTAAACCTAATCTATTTGGACAATTATTCTTAAGGCAAAGCACTTTTCACATGATGATTTCATAGGGGCCACTCCTAGAACCGGAAATTGTTGAGTGTGGAAAGGAATTTGTAAGCTTGACAAGATATGTGTTGAAGGAGTGTATTAGAAAAGTTGGTTATGGAAATACTATTCGGATTTGGGGGACCCTTGGGTACCCCAAATATTTGCCTGACGTATGGTGCCAAATTCCATTGCAATGGTATTTCTCTGTACAAAACACCACCTTATAGACTACATATACCTCAGCATATTCAATGTCTACAACCTCTAATGCATCGACTCTAGCCTCAATAAAATGTAGGTCCTTCTCAACCAATGAATCAATGTTCATGCACTAGTTGCCTTATGATCTTTAGCTGCACCATCAACAAAGATCAAAATCTCTGCTCGAGTTCACGACAAATACAACTGTCTGCTCTGTTGTTGTGGCCTAAGTATATTGTGTTTGACAATACCCCTATGAGCTGTAGGGGTGGCAACGAGTTGAGCTTTTTACGAGTTATTCAAGTTTGGTTTGGCTTGATTTCAACCGAGCTCGAACTCGAGCCCAATTCATTGGCTTGACTATGAAACGAGTTGAGCTCGAGCCTACTAGAGCTCGGTTCGTAAGGCTCGCGAACTGGCTCGAATATATATATATATATATATTATAATTATTATATATACAATAAAAATATTATAAAATATTTATATATATAATTTTTTATTTTTATAAAATATTTTTTCTCAAAATCATTTTCGAGCCAAGTCGAGCTCGAGCTTATGAATTTTTTATTCAAACCGAGCTCATGCTCAAGGTTCTGGCTTGAACTGAGCTCAAGCTTGAACCGAGCTCAAGCCTTATACTATTCGATTCGGCTCAAATCCACCCCTAATGAGCAGTAATAGACAACTATTCATTACAGAGCCTGAGGACCGACTGGATTGAATTACTCGATAGGGGTAGATGCTGACCCACCAAATGGTTCTTTTTCTATTCATTAGAGAGCCTTTGCTTTTGGACTTTTATGCTTTATCTTTCTCCTCCGTGGCCTAAGACCACCCAAATGATTCATCAAACTACCGAATAAGAATAAAAAAAACCATCCTGTTCACGATGCAGTAAACCACTATTTATGAATAAGTTGTCTTTCGTTTTGGACTTTTATGCTTTATCTTTCTCCCCCGTCCCATTTGTTTTTCCAACAAATGTGTTTGCTAGAAAAAAAAAGGGTTTGAAACTTTAATCACATTTTCTTCAAATATAGAAATGCCAGTATGGTGCTTAATTGCTTGGGCATCCGATGAATGAAGAATTTAGGGTCCGTTTGGTTCACAGTCAGAATCAGAATCAGAATCGGAATCGGAATTGGAATCCACTAGAATCAGAATCAGAATGGTCAATTCCCATAATCTGTTTGATTCATATAGGAATGGGAATGAAAATTAAAATCAGCAAGACTGGGATTTTATTCCCAAGGGAGGGGCAGGGAATAATGGCCATTCCCTCAAATGGGGAAATGCCATTCCAACAGAAATGAAAATGAAATTCCGATTCTTCCCAAACAAACAGTTGGAATCGAAATAACCCATTCCAATTCTGATTCCAATCCCTATTCCTACAAACCAAATGGGGCCTTAGTAAGAAAGAAGAGGAGGATACCTACTAAGGCTAAAAGATCTCAAACAAAAGGGTAGTATGCAACTATGCATAATCTAACTTAATTGGATGTCCTTAAATATCAAATGAATGGATAATCCTTCAAAGAATTCTTTGTTCTTTGACAATTCAAAGACGATGCAATTGATTAATTCATCCAATTTGATAGATTTCTTATGTAAAAAAATCCAAGGGCCACCTAATGTGTTCCTTATTACTAATTTTTTTTTCTTTTTTGAGATGAAGGATAATAGATTTTATTAAACTAGAAGGATAAAGTGGTTAGGGGTGTCAACGGTATTCAAAAATCCAATTTCGAATTCGATATTCAACATAATTGAATCGAATTCAGATAATTCGAATATCTAATCGGTCGAATTTGAATATCCTATTCTTATCAGATAGTTAATTGGATTCGAATTCGGATATGACCTGATTCGATTCAATAAATATCTGAATTCGATCGATTATTTAATTCTTGTATAAAATATTTTATATAATTTACATATAATAATCAAGTTATATAAATAATTTATATATTTATATACTTTATATCAATAAAATATTTATTTTATATATTTATTAATTATCTAAAATAATTAATTAATCGACTTTGAATTGAATATTTGAATATTTAATCGGATTCGAATTCGGATATTAATTTTCAATATCCATCGAATATTGAATCGAATTCGGATATCAGATTTTCTAATCGGATTCAAATTCGAATATTGCCTGATCCAATTCGAATTCGATCCATTTACACCCCTAAAAGTGGTACATGAGAGGATGTACAACAGGAAGCACACAAATTACAACATCTCTCACTATGTAAAACATCCCTATTGGCACCCGATTTACCCAACCAGTCTGCTACTGAGTTTAGCTCTCTAGGAATCCAGACCATATTAACATTTAAGGATTCTCGAAGATCCCTAGCCTTATCCAAATAATGAGTGAGTCTCCATGGTCCTATCCATCCAATGGTGTTTCTCGAGTTTCCTTTGATGACAAGGGAAGACAATCCAAGGTTTCTTGCAATCCGGAGACCAGTTAGCACTGCTAACATTTCAACCTTTGTAGAATCTGCCATCTTGATTAGTCCACTATAAGCCCACAGTAAATTCCCATCCCTTCCCTTAAATACGCCCCCAATCCAAGCTAAACTAGGGTTCCCAAGAGCACTTCCATCAAAGTTTAGAGTCACCTCCTCTTCTTCGCTTGGTTGGGGGATACTAATTGCTTTTAAAGAAGTTGGAAAAGAATGCAAGATCTCTATTGTGCTTCTTTGAAGGTCATTTAAGAAAACACCTTTGAACTTCTCTTAGTTCAATGCCCAAATTGTTAGACAGTATATGTCTTTAGCTCCAATCAAATTGATGTACATAAACATTTATTTTGTAAATGAATAAAGTACATTATTGTTTCATGTTGATATTGGTATGTTTTTTGTGTATTACCCCTTAAACTAGACATTTTATGATACTCATGTTACTTTAGAATATTTCTTAGTCGTTGAATAGACTTAGAGAGTCTATCTTGCCAAGGGTGACATTGATGTGTTGGCAAAGAAGTTAGGGCAGATTATCTCAACTGCTAAGGTTAAAACCGAAGCACATGCAATGTGTGTGTGGATGAAACACTGAACCCAAATCATTTTCCATTTATGCCCTGAACCTTAGAGATTGATGGACAAAATTGGAAAGTTACATATAACATCAAACTTGATTATGGTATTGTATTAAGTGTTGTATTAGGTTGTCTTTGATGTACCAATCAGTGAGATCCATCAAGGGTCAACACCTGGGCATGTTGGGACAGTTTGAAAATTCACTTAAGTGGGTGATCATAGTGATATGATTGGCCATTTTATCAGACATAGGAATGACAACGAGGTGGGTTTGGGGCAGGGATCATATTCCCCATCCTCGACCCTGATTCTAAAATTAACCCCCATCCTCGTCCCCAATCCCAATACCTGGGTATGTTGGAACAGTTTGAGAATTCACTTAAGTGGGTGATCATAGTGATAGGATTGGCCCCTTTATCAAATATAAGAATGACAACAAGGTGGGGTCGGGGTGGGGATCATATTCCCCATCCTCGACCCTGATTCTAAAATTAACCCCCATCCCCGTCCCCAATCCCTGTTGGGGATAAAATTTGTCTTCCATCCCCGATCCCTAACGGGGATGGATTCCCCGCAGGGACCTGAATCCTCAATTTTTTTTTAGATAATAGTTTTTTTAAATAAATTTATTTAAAATGAATAAAAATATTAAATTATAAACAATGTTTTGATATATATATATATATATATATATATATATATATATATATAATCAGGGTCGTGGTAGGGACCTCAATCCCCCATCCTCGATCCCGACCTAGTCGGGTTGGGGAAGTCGAGTCCCCGTCAGGGATAGGAAAAATTGCCATCCCTAGTTAGACAAAGTGAATATCAGGGTTTATATTCTCTTAGATAGAAACCTAAACTAGCGACAGTGGATTTCAATTATATTTGAAATATGTTTTTGCAAAATGTATTTATATATTGTATACTACTATTCTATGAAAAATATTTTAATCATAGGATTCATCTAAGCAAAGAGTGTGACACTACACCTTATAGCCAAGGGAGATGTCCTTTCTTATTGAACAGTGTTTTGATTATTATAAGAGATCATTACAAGATTAATTACCTCATAGGATTTATCTCACTTAAATCCATTTTCATCGAATACGGCTTTCCACAGAATTCTATATGTATCTATGAGATCGARTATGGAATTCTGTTTACTCACTTTAAATTGATCCGTTTCCCTCATTTTCTTGCTAGGATTGGAAATCCTGTATTTTACATATCCATACGATTGAGTCCTTGGGTTTCCGAAATAGTGTAAAAAGAAGTGCTTCGAATCATTGTTATTTGATTGGGACCTGTTCTAATTGTTTGTTGATATCATTTGGTCTTCGTAGATGAATAAATTCAATTATAATTTAGGAATAAATGTTGGGTCTAAATTAAGTCCATATTGATTCGCTCAGAGTTCACTGCTCTTACCCCTCTGTACCGTGGGCAGGAGATCCCGACTCCCTCTATTAACAAGAAAACCCGGCATTCCTTCCAAGGATACGAACAGATGAGGAATGGAGTGAGTCCCCCTATTCCTACCCTTTAATCGAGCAAAACTCAACTCCTATAATTCTTTGGTTCTAGCATCGATTTCTACAAGCCCAGCTCCCAAGCTTCCAATAAGCTCAAACATCTCCTATGTCCACAAATGGAACGGAAGACCTTGAACAACAATCCACCTGCTGAACTTCAGATAAGAGGGAGCTGCATTCACCATCGGCCACCAACGAGAAATCGATACCATTTACCAAAGACAGAGACTTATGAAGGGGCGAAGCCCACAGCTCTGTTCGAATCAATAGGTTTTCGGCTTATTAACTCAGAAACATGGAAGTTTGTCGTGAGCCCTAGCTCTACTTGCTTCCAGATCAAATCCTCTTGTTTAGTGCACACGAAGGCTGATTTCCAACTACCAAAGGGGCTGGTTTGATGTACAACGAAAATATGAACTGAACCCCCCCATTGCCACTACTCTGCTTTTTCTCTCCAGATGCAGAAAAGGTTCCAGTGAAAGGACGGAAGATTTCCAACCGCTTTTGTTTGCTTCTTCAGGAATGCAGATGCTGCGCATTTTATCTGTAACCTCCCATCGGCTTACCCTGATGAGCCTTCCCCATCTGTCAACTCCTCGTCCTCTTTCTGTTATCCCTAACTCATCGAAATTTTTGTTGGAATAAAGATCAAACTCAAACGCTTTAGATCCTACTGCTACCAGACGTATCGCCATTATCCTTGTCTCTTAACAGCAGTAATACCGACACTTAGCAGAACCCTTGATTACAAGAAATGAGAACATTCCCCTAGATCATAGAAAAAAAATCAAGAAAAAAAAATGAAGAAGCAGATGCAATTGCACCTAGGACGGAGGAGCCATGGAGTGCAGTGCCATTATTCATTTCAATTGTATAGATGTCTAGTCAATTCGCTCAAGATTGTAATTCACAATTCCTTCAAGTGCAGATCTGAACTTACTCACAGGAAGACATTGCAGGCTCTGGATTGCAAGTTTGGCTGTCTCTTTCGCTAGATCTCGTGCTCTATCAATCCCCCCACACTTATTAACCAATTCAATAGCCTCATCCAAGGATCCATCTTCAACAAACTCTGATTCAATGATCTCTCTAAGTTTTGGCTCCTTTTCTAGAGCAAAAATGACAGGTGCAGTGAGGTTTCCTTTTTCCAGATCACTGACAGCCGGTTTCCCTAGCTGTTCTTCTGACTCAGTGAAATCCAAGATGTCATCAACTACCTGGAACGATAATCCAAGGTTCCTTCCATATTCAAACATCTTCTCACATATGCTGCCATCAACCCCACTAAAAATAGCAGCAGCTTTTGTGCTTGCCGCAATCAAGGAAGCTGTTTTGTAGTAGCTCTTGATCAAATATTCCTCAAGTTTAACATCACAATCAAAAAGGCTTGATGCCTGCTTTATTTCACCACTCGCAAAATCTTTAATTACCTGTCAGAAAAATAAATAATAGAAAATTTCACCAGGTTCCATGATGAGATTGTTACATGACAAGAAATGAAAGCAACTTCCCTTGCAGATGCAGACCTGGCTAATGAGCTTTATGACTTCGATGTTTTCAAGATTTGCAAGGTGCCATGAAGATTGTGCGAACATGAAATCTCCTGTCAATACTGCCACCCGTGTACCATATAGTTGGTGAATGGTGTCCTTTCCTGCAAGGTAAGGAAAACCCTAGAAATTCCCTTAAACATGGAAAATGATGAACTAGTTTCATCATCTACCCTCTGTCAATATATTATCCCGCCGGAGATCATGCTCTCCTTGGGCTATTCTTTATGTATTAGCTTTCAACGCATCCTCTTGCATAAGTAAAATAAGTTTTAATTAGTAATGTAATGAAATACAGAGGGGGTGCAACATGGGCAACTCAGAAAGTGAAGTGCCAGAATCATTATGACTACTTTTCACTGTCTGGCTAGTTTGTTTTAGTACATTTCAACTTCTGTTTGATTTAGATTCTCTTTCACTATTTAACTTAGGGATTTTTAAACTGCACTCCACTTCAGAATTCTGATTTAAACTACAGACCTACAACAATTCAAAATTATAAACAGTTCCATCTATAACACCCATATCCACCTATGAATTGGCATCAATTTCGAGCTGGCACCTACCCCCAACTGTACGATGGAGCTAGGATTTCTGGGGTGGACTGAACAATAACAACCCCTTTAACTTAAGACTAAAATTATGATGCTGGAAAGACATGATACAAGAAAAGGACCTACAACAATTCAAAATTACAAACAGCTCCACCTATAACACCCATATCCAGCCGTGAATTGGCATCAATTCCGAGCTGCACCTACCCCCAACTGTACGATGGAGCTAGGACTAAAATTATGATGCTGGAAAGACATGATACAAGAAAAGCTTTGACCAGTCATACTCCACCCCACCTGCTGAATTTTGATAAATACCAACCTGATTGATTGCCACTTTTATTATACCAGTTCATTGGTTGCAAGTTTTTCTGGTATCATAGTCAAACCCTTAACTTGACATTGGAAGTTAAAAGTTATGGAACTACATATTGCGTAGAGATGTGAGCTTTGATGCCTATTGGTGGAAAAGACAACACCAAGCAGTTATTTGATTCTGTATTGTGTTACTCTTCATCCATTCAAGCTTACCTTTTTTCCTCACATTGTACTAGTATCATTTTGATGAGGAAGATCTTGTGTATTTGGTTGTTGAATCTTACTTAATGAGGAAGAGAGAGGAACACTGAAGTAGAGACTTGTAACAAAATTCTGGTCCACCTTTCTCACATATGAAAGCAATATCAAAGAAAGTCACACATTGCTTATCATTTCAAATATGCACAGTCAAGATTTATGCATCACAGAGAATGATAATTATCCATTCAACCTCCAAATACACAAGATCTTCCTCATCATAATGATAATAGTATAACGTGAGGAAAAAGGTAGGCCTGAATGGATGAAGAGTAACGCAATACAGAATCATATAACTGATTAGTGGTCTTTTCTACCAGTAGGCGTCAAAGCTCATATCCCTATGCAATATGCAGTTCCATATCATAGCCAACATCTAAAACCTTCAGTACTGTTATATATCCTGGCTTTAAAAATATCATAGTGCTTATATAAACCTAGCATGTTTCTTTTTATCTTTTTTTAAATTAGTGAAACTGGTTTCCTGGAATGTGAGGGGGCTGAGAGAAGAAAGAAGAACAATAGTTAGGAATGTATTAAGAAAGATTGTGCCAGATGTAGTTCTATTGCAGGAATCGAAGTTGGAGGTTTTCAGTTTGAAAATAAAGAACAAAATTTGGGGTGATTATAGTGGGGAATCGGCAGAGGAAGCAAGAAATTTCGGATTAACATACTTTCAGCCAGAATCTGCAGCAGAAATTTTTTTCTACATGGCCGGAGTTAAGAGGAAGCAAGAAAGCTAGATTTCTCTGGAATTGTATTGACAAATATTGGAATCTGGACAAGATTGTGGCAGCTGTTAACAACTCAGTTGTAGACTGGGTTTGTCATCTCTAGAAATTAACCATGTTTCTAGCGAGGATTTGGGGAACAAAATGGGAGATATTTTGGGAGTTCAACTTTGTAACTTGGAGGCCTATTTTTATTCTTCTCACTAGCAATATTGTTCTGTTGTTTTGTTTGTGGGTGATTCCTTATCACCTTCTGATGGTGCGCAATTCGGCCGGTCTTAACTGTCAATGACCTTGCCTCTGAATTGGATTGCAGGGAACCTGAAATGGAGAAGATGAGGAAGCTCCGGGGGGAACCCAGTATAAAGGCTCCGAAGCTCAAGTTAGAATCCTTCAAAGGCAAGATAAAACTAGATAGCGCAAAGTTTGCATACCTTGTTCTTGGGGGGTAGAGAGCCTTTTATAACCACCCCGCACACTCACTCCTAGGCTTCTGTCAGGTCGGGTATGATTACTTCCGTGCTTCTGCCAGTTCGGGTGTCATCACCTCTGTTGGGGCAGAACCGCCACTGCTCCTTTTGTCGGAGCTGTCTCTGTAACTGGAGATGACGGTGGCAGGTGGCGGTGGCAGGTGGCCGTTGAAGTGCGGCTGTCAAGCATCAGATCCCAAGTCAGTCAGGTCCGCCGCCCTTGGATACGGACTCCTTCGGTGTCAAGTACGGTGTGGTTTGTCTAGTTCGACGTCCTGGAGGCGAAGTGCTGGGGTGGTGTGCGAGGTGAAGTCTTGAGTTCGGATAGGGCAGTGTCCCGAACTGCCATGAGGCGGGCCAGTTCGGGTCACTGCTTTGTGAGGCTCGGGGCCTAAGGGAGAGTTCGAGCTCCTCGTAGGGAGTTCAAGCTCTTAGTAGGGAGGTCGGGCTCCTCGTAGGGAGTTCGGGCTCCTCGAAGGGAGTTCGGTCTCCTCGAAGGGAGTTCGGACTGCTGGTTTCTTCCCTTTGGTGCTTGTGCCCTGGGTACGCTGTTTTAAGTGCCGAGCTATTTGTTTTTGCCACGTGGAGTGATTGCGAGGTCGAGCCAAATCTTCCTTCATCACCTTCTGGATTGTAATATTTTCCTTTTTTTAATGAATTTTCTTTTTACCATAAAAAACTACAAGGTTCTTTACCTTATTCTTAGCACTAATGGTCTTGATAGAGCGGTCAATTCTCAAGTCATCAATCACATACAATTGTTTTGTTATTTGAGATTGCCTCCACAATTTTAAGATTTGTTTCTCTGCTCTCTCAATAATTTATATCTGCTAAAATGTTTTTGCTAATAATCAGATAAGGTCAACACCATGTGTCCCAACTCCATTTCTGAAACTTATACTAGACTACTATTGCCAATTAAAAACATTCACCATTTTTCGAGCAGCCATAACAAAACTGGATGGCAACCAAACAACATTTAATTTGTAGAGCCTTTTCTGCTACATAAGCAGCCAATGTAGATGATTTAATTATTTTTGCTATACCATTTCAAGCTTGCACTTGTAGTTCTTGGCATACCACACAAACTCCTGGACATATTCTTATTCAAAACTTCACTAGCTACCTTGCTAGTAAAGTATCCTGCTGGTTGAAGTGCAGACCTAGGATTGAATCCCAGCTTCATGAGGGTTTGAGGATTTGGGGGGAGGGATACCCTTCATTATATAGTGCAGAGAAAGTTGTCTCTTCCAATAGGGAAAACAAAAAACAGATGACCCCATGGAATTCCACAAAATAGAAGGCTCATAAACCAACTGAACACAATGGATGATTTTATTATCTATGATATATTGCCTGTAAAGAGTGTTGGGTAAACAAGAAATAACATGTTCAAAAAATTAGTGTAGCTAAGATAAGGATGTTGAGACAGATGGAATTGGAATGGTAGATAGGACCAATGTTACCAAAGCATCATCTAGTTGAACTACTCAACCAACTAGTCAATTAAAGGGCTAGATCAATTGCATCACTAACTAGTTGATCGATACTCATGATGTAGTCATCAAGGATGACCAATCATTTGACTAGGTTGTCTAGTCAAGGTTCAAAATTCCAACACAATGCGCCCCGTATCGGGCGTTTTGTATCGTATCAGGAGCTAGCCAATACAGGAAACAATGGACTTTTAAGAATTTTGGTCTTTTTAGGGGTTAGATAGGTCTAAGATCAACCTCCTGACCATTTTTGAAAAAAAAAAAGCTACAAAAAAAACAAGTTATAAGCTGTTGAAACACTCAATACACAAGTTTGTGCTTATCGGGTCTATCGATACTTTCTTCCTCTTAGTTTTCCTTCTTCCTAGTTAAGTTTCATATGAAATGTTCTATTCACAATGGCATAAAGTAAGTTGTTCATGACTTGCAAGAAAATTAACTTTAAGAAGACTATTCACATTATTTGTAAGATTTTATGAAATGCATTTAATCTAAAATAGGTGCTCTAATAATCTCTTCCAATGCAAAAGGTAGACCTGAAAATAGAGTATATTTTGATAGGGCAGAACACATATGGAATATGTAAAAAGGGGCTTCTATTGAAAGATATTGATGCATACCTCTTCGTATGTTACTGTCATCTATTACATCATCATGTATTAAGCTTGCAGTATGAATCATCTCGATTATCTCTGCCAAGCGTTGATGTTGTAGGGTAAGTTCCCTGGATTAAATAGTAAACAAATAAACTATACATTTCTTTTGAAAGCACAGACTGCAAATGCTTGAAAAAAAATCAGAGAATACTTACTTTATCCCTGCTATTTCTGTTGTGGCTCTCGAAACAAGGAATACTAAAGCTGGTCTTAGTCTCTTCCCACCAGCATTAAATATCTGTTCTGCTGCAGAAACTAAAACTGGATTGTCTGCACCAGTGATCTAGTTGGACATTTTAATCAGATATAATTGTGACTTGTGAGAAGATGTTAAATGATTATTGCAAAGTCACATTCAGATTGACAAAGTGAAGAAAATTGCAAATAGAATAAAAGGTAAACATGCTACATATAGAAGGAGCAAATATTGAATGAAGATAAGGAAGTTACTAAATTAGAATTCTACATTATGATATAACATTTTTTTATTCTATCTTCACAAAGAATGGAAGAAAAAAGGAAGTTGCTTACAGGAAACACCAAAAGGATAGAGAATTTGGTACCAAGAAATGCTAAATTGAATTGCTAATCTCAAAAGAAAATGCTCATAATCACAAGATAACATAAATAAAATAGGGTTGAATATTTGCATTTGTAGGCAGGAATGGAGCTACTCATGGGGTATGATGGCCCATGAGTAGTAAGGCCCCATTTGTTTTTACCTTGTCTATTAGTAGTAAGGCCCCATTTGTTTTTCGGTAAGTTGCTTACCCAGGTAAATGCAGTTATCTGGGTAAATTTTTCTTGGGAAACACTTACCCGGGTAAGTGCATTTACCCATGTTCTTTTATTTCTCATGTAAATAAAGTAATGGCCATTTTAGTCATAAAAATCCATTATTAAAAGGGGCATTTTTGTTCCATCCAAGTGTTGGCAACTTTCCCCCTAGGTGGGAAAGTTGTTTACCCACCTAGGAGATGGGTATCACTTACCCGGGTAGGTGATACCCAGGAAAATAAACTTTCCCTAGTCCCCACATAAATCTGAAAAAAAAACATGGGATTCTTGGTCAACGGGAACCAAAATCCCATTGACCAACTTCCCCCCCTGTCAAAATCCGAAAAAAGAATGCCCCCTAAGATGTTAATGCATAGATAGTGTTAGAGTTGAACCATCGACACAAATATATTTGGACCAAGAAAGGATTTCTTCCCTTCAACAGATAGCCTATGAGTAGACTAACAATAATGGGGTTGTCCAGAGTGAAATTTACTTACATTTAAATTATATACTCCACTATAAGTGCAATAACATCAATTTTATATATTGATTACTCATCATGGTTACCGGTCAGGTAGCATATGAATACTCATGAACACAGACGTCAATATAAGAAAGTAGAATTTCTCTTTAATGATCAGATCATCTAAATGAAACAGAAAAGATTATTTTGTGATGTTTGTTACACTAGGTTAAACTGAACAAGAAAGCAGAGCAGTAGAAAGTATTAGAAACCTATCTATTCCTTTTACTTTCTTTTTGTTAAGCAGTATTTTGTGCTTTCTAATAGGTCTTAAGGTTCCTTGTTCTAGAAACGTTTTAAAATATAGAAGTTTAATGGGTCTCAGAGTGTTCTGCTTTATTCTAATTGTTCAAGATTGACCTTTATACTAAGATGCTCTTAGTTTTCACTGCATCAAGTTAAATTATTTTAATAGAACTACAATTAATTCATAACAAGTGTTTCTTAAGATCCCTAAGGCATAAAAATTTGAGGTGAGGCAAAACCAAGAGCCCAAATACAATAAGGTCTTGGCATGACTAATGACATGTTGATAAGGGTTGAACCAGTGGTGAATGAACCAAACAACAGTACCACTCAACATTGACTGGGGGGGGGGGGGGGGGGACTGAACCGAAGAAACTCCATACCCAACAATTTCCAGTCTGCCCAGGTCAATTTGCATGCACCAGTAGTTACTCCCCTTCCATTGTTTCTCAAGAAAAATCTGTGAAGTAACATCCTTTAGGTTGTAGTGCCAATCTCACCAAACCTAACCTCCTCCCATAACACTAAAAAACACTTTTCTTTCCGAACCCGGGTTTCTTGCACTTGCTTTGGTGTGGGACGTGGTGCACTTCTAATCATATTCAACCACGTCCCCTTCGTCATGGTCCTCTATTTCGCATGTTTGAATTAAACTAAATGGAAAGTTTGGGACGTTTTGTCTATAAAATTCATTTTTTAAAAAATTGACTATCAAGTTCGATAGATGGAAGAGGTAAACAAAGAGACATTTTTCTCAAAACCATTATAATACAAAAAGCTTCAGTCATGAAAATACACCGTTAAAAAACGATCTGTAGGAATAGATTGTTCTTCAATCAAGAAGGAACCATTGCTATCAGAAAATTTTCAGTCACAAGCGTACACCATTAAAAAACGATTTGTAGGGGTAGATTGTTCTTCAGCCAAGGCATAGAATTCAATTAAACTTCTAGTCATGGAATTTATTTGCATTCAAATGCATTTAGAGTATAGAACTAAGAAGACATTTTCTCAGAATCATTATTACTAGAAAAAAATAACCAAAATTTTATAAACCTAACTCCTTTGAAGGATTCAGTACTGAATCTAATTCACATAAGCACATGGGTGGTTTATATTTGAAGGATTCTGGTCTGTTGCTTAACATAATACTCTTGTTGTAGCTTCATTTGTAAAAAAGCAAACGATTTATTGAAGAAACAAACTCTGCAAAGCTCTTATTAATGGTGCCTAGGGAAGAATACAAAACAGTATAGAAGAAAAAAAAAATCCCTTTTCTTGCATTTGCAAAAGGATTTCTACTCCTTGACTGAAGAGCAGTCTATTCTTGTATATCTCTTGTTAATGGCATCTGCCCATCTAGGGTTTTGCAAGCAAGCCATTCGTTTGAGTTTCCCCATTCATTCTTCAAATTACACAGTCAAATTCCTTTTTTTTTTTTTACTTTCTTTTTTCTTTTTTCTTCAGTTCCAAAAAAAGAAAGTTAGAGAAATAACACCCCTAACTTGTCGTTGAATTTAATTCACACATATAAGACAGAGGACCATGCAGAATATGGCGTGGTTGAATCTGATTAGAAGTGCACCACCTCCCACACCAAAAGCGAGTGCAAGAAACCCGGGTTCATAAAAATGCCATTGAGAAAAGAACCCGAATTTCCTACACTTGCTTTTGGTGTGGGAGGTGGTGCACATCTAATCAGATTCAACCATGTCATATTCTGCATGCTTCCCTGTCTTACATGTGTGAATTAATTAAACGGCAAGTTAGGAGTGTTATTTCTCTAAAATTCTTTTTTTGGAACTCAAGAAAAAAAAGAAAAAAAAGGAATTCGACTGTGTAATTTGAAGAATGAGAGAGGATAAACAAAACAAATGGAAAACTCAAACGAAGGGCTTGCTTGCAAAACCCTAGATGGGCAGATGCCATTAACAAGAGACATGCAAGAATAGACTGCTCTTCAGTCAAGGAGTAGAAATCCTTTTGCAAATGCAAGAAAAGGGATTTTTTTTTTTTCTTCTATACTGTTTTGTATTCTTCCCTAGGCACTATTAATAAGAGCTTTTCAGATTTTGTTGCTTCAATAAATCATTTGATTTCATCACCGTGTTTCTCTTTATTCTTCTTCTTCTTCTTCTTCTCACTTGAGGATCTTGCTTTTATATATATCAGGCCCATGCATCTCATTTAGCAATGGGATTCCTGCATGCAAAAACTCTACACACAAGAATGGAATCCAGCCGCACATTAGAAACATCTGTACGAATTTAATGTCTATGTACGAAAGATATTCCTAATGTGCGGCATGCATTTTGGCAGTGTTTGGCATTGATGTTGTTGCCTCAGAAAATGGCTTCATGTTGGTGACACGTAAAAAAAAAAAAAATTGGTGCACCAAGAAGCACGTACTTGTTTAGGACCGTGGCTCTAGAAAATGCAAAGAAAACAACCATGCCTTGGAATTCGAGAAGGTGTGGTCTTTGGCGTTTTCTCATTTTCAGAACCCTTGCTTCCAATGATACAATGACGTAGCACCAATGTGGCATCATCTTAAGTGTTGGATAATGTAAACCTATGCTAAAAACAGTTATACAACACTTATACCAAATAAAACCAGTATTGTTTCCCCAAAAAGCATCCTATGTGGCAACATCATGCCAAACAGAAAAAAAAGAGCCATTTTCTCAAAAAATGGTGCAACCAATCCTCATCCATACAACACCGTTTTCTCATAAAATGGCTTTAAAGCAACAACATCAATGTTAAACACCTCTATCGACGCAGAGTTTTTGCTTGCGGTAGATTTTGTGTACATTTAATATAACATTTTCTCTTGTTTATTAGTATTATCTTAAAATTTTCTCTTTACGTTTCTGTTAATTTTATGTTATTTTTCTTTTAATTTTTACTATTAATTTACTGTTACCTTTATGTTAATACTAATTTCTTTTGAATTACTGTCACTAATATATTACTATTAATTTTACATTTATTAATTTACTATTAATTTGTTTAATAATAAAGAAAATAAATACGTGGTTATCATTGATTATTAAAAATATTTAATAACAATTTATTTACTATACTATATTCTAAAATGCAGTTGTCTTACTCTCTTTTGCTTCCCAGCCCCTTTAAAATTATATGGATTTTTTATTTAAAAAATAAAATAAAAATCAAACATGAGCTACTTTACTATTAGGAAAGCTAATGTAATGGCTTCCTCATGGGCCTTTACCAAATATGCAATCACTCCTCTTTAATATGAGGTCTTTAATAAAAGTGTTTTAATAAAAGTGCTTTAATAAAAGTTATTTCGTAAAAGTGCTTTTGCAAAAATACTTTCGTTAATATAAAAGTACTTTCATAAAAGTGCTTTCTTAAAAGTGTTTTCATATAAAAGTATTTTCATAAAAGTGCTTTCGTATGAGTTAATTGGTATTTTAAAATTCCTACGAATTGAAAGGGTTAATTGGTATTCTAAAAATTTGAATAAGTGCTTATTGTATACAGTATAAGCACTTAAAAAAAGCTAAAATTTAGGGCTTAAAAAATAAGCATTTATTTTGAGTTTATTTTTCAAACACCAATAAGTGTTTAATGGTGTGATCCCAACCCAAATAAGCAGTTATTACGAATAAACACTTATTTTTAAGCACACCAAAACATGGCATTAGATTAACTGAATGGGATGACTGTTAAGGGGGGCTATGAACATAAGAACCAATGATTCA